TATGACTCCGAAAAATCACATTGGTACTTGCCAGGTTTGAACCCGCGCCCTCGGCAACGAGAGACGGACCCCTTAGCCACTAGACCACCACTGACTTTTTAAATTTTATGATTCTCACAAATTCGATGACAAATAATGACGTTAATGTCAAAAGTGATTTTTGTATAATTAATAAGCAGGCATGCCTACATCTATAAAATATAAAAAATTAAATTACTTTTATACTAGTCTCATCGATAACTTGAAGGAATTACTGTAAAACTAGGTACGAACTGAAAATCATTACTAGAATAAGAACTTTTTTTCGTTATTTTTATTTAATAATGGATTTTTAGCAATTTTGACGTAATATTGAAAAAGTTCGTTGTTCTTTTATTAATTGAAATTCTAAACAAAATAATAATTGTCTCCGTCAATTTTTATTTAATAGTCTACTAGTTATATTTGTAATATCATTTATATTCTAGAAATTATAATTAAAATTGTTATTTTCTCATGAGTGTATTTAGTGATGCTCAGAAGAATGCAGAAGTTATTCCAATACCTAAATTCTAGATGCCGTACGTAAATTAATGTGTGGTCAACTAATCCCATTTCTTAACTAGAATTTCCTACTTAGGCTGATTAATAACAAGAACGTAGTCTTTCTCATTGCACTAATAGACTTCTTAGATGAAATTCGATTTACTATACCAACATGATCAACAGATTTCATCTCGTCTTTCGTAATTTCAGTAATGGTTTTATTTCATACTGATGATTATTACATTTTGATACATTTATTAACTATAATTGAAATATTTGTGTTTCACTGACAATCTTTTTTCTTGTTTTAAGGTCTTGGAACTGATATGTCTTTATTTTTCTCAAAATTTCTTTCATAGTAATAATAATAATAATATTCTTCAAAAATTTCAGGAGAAATTCAACTATACCAAACATACTTGATAGTACAACATTCAACATTGAAAAATCTTTTTATTGTGATTAAGAAAACGGTAAATTGACTATAAATTACAGCTTCCAAATAAATATACCTCAATTTATTATTATTCAAAATTGAAGTACCTTTGGGGTGATTGCTAACCGAATCTACCTATCCTACAATGCAATTACATTTTACTGCCCAATTATTCTTGAACGAAACAAAGTTGTTATATTTAATCGGTAGGGAGAATGGAAATTAATAATATATATACCTATCATTAGGATCTCAAAATGCGCTAACAGTTTTGTTAAATGAACGAATAATAACTTTCGGGAATAATTATTTGAACTCAATAAGTTTGTCTGATTTAATACACGAAAATATTTTTTTTATTACTCGTAGTACAACCAAACTTCTACTGACGGGATAAGACTAACTTTTTCTCATATAATAAAAAAATCTCTTTCCGTCTAAAATTAACTTCAACCTAATTATGATATAAAGATGACTTATTTCTAACTTTTTATATTAATTCTCCTTTTCATTCACTTCTTTTGTAACGATTAGTTCTTATTAATAAAAAAATCTAATTTGAAGACTTGTGTTTTATAGTATTCGTAGGTATTATTGTTATATATATGATTGAATTGAATTATATAAATATAAATTCGTTTCCTTATCTAACCCTAAAGGGGAATATCACCTCAAACGTTTGTTCACACCTCTGTTCCGCTATTGTTCTTTTTCCTTTTACCGTAACTTTTTTTACTGTTTGTTCGATAAACATTTTGATGTGATGTATCAACAGCAGAGTTAACCTCGGTTGTGATAACATGAAGGGCTCTGGTTGAGATATCAAATATAAATACATATGCAAATATTGTACCTAAATACCAAAAATTATGTATAGATGACTTGTAATGGCGATATAAAAGCAAAGTAAAACACATAGCATAACCTAATGAAGATATGTTTAACATTTTTAATAATTAAATCGTAATTATAAGTAAAATTTATTTGATAGCAATAAGACGACATTCTAAACATTGCTCTGAAGTTTCAACATCATTAACAATTAAGATTCTAACGACATCGATGGAGCGGAAAGTTCACCTGATTGTAAATTATTAAGGTCTTTGTTAAGCCGCTGTGAATTCAGAAATGGTAATGAAATGACGACTATTATTAATTAATGGTAATGAAATGACGACTATTATTAATTTAGGATCAATCATATTTTAATATTAAATAAATTTCAAATATTTAGCGTCATCATCATCAGTCTATTAAGACCCACTAATGAGTAAAGGCCTCTTCTCACTTGGAGAAGATTTGAGCATTAATCACCACGCTTGCTTAAGACGGGTTGGTGATCCTTGACCGTCCGTCAGTGGTGTCTAAATACTTTTAAAAAGTATTTAGACACCACTCGATACCAATACGACTCGGAAAAATCACATTGGAATTAAATAAAAAATAAAATAAATTAATAAAAATTAGTACTTGCCAAGTTTCAAACCCGCGCCTTCATGCAATAGTGGCAGGCCTTTAACCTATAGGCGACCACGACTCTATTATATTTATATTTAGTCAATATATTATATTAAGAGTCCTGAAATTGTAAAATACTCAAATTTCAACAATAAATTTTTCGTTTTGTTATTAGAACAATTAAAATAAAGTATCATGATAGTAAAGCAAACAAGACGATATACACATGGCCAATATATTTTTCATTGCAGCTATTTTTGTTGCATGTGATGAGTGCCAGAGCTATAATTAAATTTACACGTGTTTTATAAAAATAACACAAAAACGTTTGCTTTTATAGAGATATTTGATAGGACTTTGTTATTTTTTCAATAAAAAACTAACGAGTAGCTATTTAGCTCAGTTCTGTGACATTTTACACTAATGTAGTTTATAAATTTAAACTTTTTTATAGTCTTTGGTATTAGCAATGCCTTTAAAAAAATGTATTACAAAAAATTCAATATAAATAAAAATATTTTAACTTTGTTATCTTTATTTCTTATATATTTCATTTAACTATCCCGAATAAACTCTTAACTCGAATAAATGCCGTTGAGGCCACGAATTTAGGTGTACTTGACAGTACTTATATTCAAGTATATAATTGTCGCTAATTGAATGCGTGGTGTCAAAATTCCTTGAAAATATGGTTTCATTTTATCCGCTATCATCATAAGCCTCTTAAGGTGACAAAAGACTCCCAAATTTCGGGGATTATGTTGTATTAAACAAGGTCAGACCATCTGACCTCGTAAAATATCTTTTTTGGCTTCCAAGAAACCCACTTTGTTTAAACGGCTATAGCCGTATCGTTGTTTTACCTATATCGAGGGATTCTTGAAACTCTTAGAGCATTTCCGAATAAGATATTATAAAACCAATTTCAGGCTTCCACTTCATATTTTTCAATGTATTTTATTTTTTTATATTGAATACTGTAAATTGTATACGTTAGCATCTTATTTGATTATGAATTAGGTAGAATTAATATATTAATGAGGTAGAATTAACACTTGATAATTTGTAATAGAATGTCGAAAATTGGTATTTGTTATTTGAATATTAAGACAGACACTAAGTTATAGGTATAGATCACAAGTTTCACACCTATTATTTGAAATACGCTATACATTTAGTTAATTCTTACTTAAGTTTTCACAGTTTTCCCGGAACTCTTGGCTAACTAAGGCCGGCATACTTTATTTTCAGACTTATCGTAAATAATCATAGATTGGTAATTTTACAAACTAACTAAATAATGAGACTACGTTTAATTATTAAAATAACCTAGCATAATGTTCAAAAGATAAATGTATAGAAACTTGTAACATAGAATTTTAGTATGTCATAAAATTATAATTTTTAAACATACAAAATAGAAATTGTTGGCTTATTATACAGTTATATTTCCTGGCGATAACAAATACACGTTAGACACAAGTACCTCAATTATATGATTTTTATATATTTCCATATTATAAATATCGGTGAAAATATCGGAACTAAAGAATGATTCTATGTACTTCCATGTAAGCGAAGCTTAAGAGTTGTAGGGGCATACGTGAGCAAAATACTTAATTGTTCAAGATACTGCAGCGCTTAAAAGAAAATCCTAATTTTCTTTATTTCTGTAGGAATTCTATCGAAACAAATGTAAGATCGAAAGAAAAACAATGTTTTAAATTGATTTTAGAGTTTTCATAACTTGTAAAAGTTGCTTATTTTGTTCAACAACAGGTCCGCTTTCCCGATTGCTGAGTGTCTTTCTTGGGGGCCAATTAAAAGTATAATGAACAATAATTCAAAAAGTTCCAAAACTCACTCTGTATTGTAATTAAAAAAACAGTGTTTCTAATGAAAAAATGTTTGTTGTTTTCTCTCCTACAAAAATATATATTGTTTTAAGTAAAAATTAAGAATTTTCAACAAGCCCGGAGGCATTTACAGGTATAGATAATTTTTAACAAGTTTATAACTTTGTGGAAAATTTAGGAATACATTGAATTGTAAAGTGGGAACAAACATATATTCTTATATTTATTTAAGTTTAGCCACAAAATCTTAACTAAGAGAATTAAAAATTCATTTTATCATATAAGATTTTCATTTTAGGAAAATTAATATATTTAAATTGGTTATTATATACACGACCGTAAAAAAGTCCAAGATCAAACATAGCCTTTAAACAGGATATTCAAGATTATTCATATAATTCAGAAACCTAACTAGTACCTTTAAGGTTAAAGAAACCACACAATATCACTCTATTATTGGACGGCTTACATTTTAAACTCGCTTTATTTAATTTACTGCTGTACATGTATGATATGAAATACGTACTTGCGTAATATTCAATAGCATTTTTATGACCCATTCAATTCTTTTAGTATGAATATTACGACCAAATGTAGAATAAATTCATACTTTATTAATATGATATTTAAGATGAAATATTGAAATTTATTATATTTTTCTTCCAAGAGTCAGACTTGATATTAAGATGTAATTTTTTTTTAATATATGACTAATAGCTACTTACTCAGTTTCGTTGTTCTCGAAGAGAATGTGATCTTGTACTGCTTCAAATTGTGCACCACTCTTCGCTGTTCCATCTTCGGTCCAATATGGTATTCGTACCTTCCCTCGAGCACCTGCCGTCCTTACCACTTTCAATTCATATGTTCCTACTGATTCCGTCAACTCGAAATCCCTTTGGGGGAATGAGAACACACCCGAATGATCGTCATCTAAAATTACGACAGTGGCGGTGGATGGTGAGGCCAAACAAGCGCCTTTGGCAGAACTTAAACGAACAGTAAAATGTTCGTCTTCTTCAAATACATCGTCATCAATTACTTGTACGCTAAATGTTTTCTCTGCCTCACCAGGACCGAAAACGAGACTCCCCTGTGTTGCTATATAATCTGATCCGGCCTCAGCAGTCCCATCTTCGGTACAGAATTGTACAGTGACCTCTCCATTTAAATCGCCTTTTCTTACCACTCTCACTTCAAATGAACCGCAATTTTCCATAACAGTATAATGATCAGGATCAAAACGAACATTTGGTCCTTTAATCTCAGGTCCAGCAGATGTTGATTCTCGCCGTTGTAATTCTGCTTTAACTTCGCTTAAGTCACTTTGGGCCCTCTCAGATATTTTTCGAGAAAAGTCTCCGCCACCTGTCATCATGCGTGTTGCTGATACTCGATAAAATGCGCGAGATTTCGGTCCACGTGCCATCAAAGTCTCTAAAGCCATTCTCTCAACAGTTTCTAGGTCTTCCTCGGGATTTTGTCTCCTTAGCTCACGTAAGACCTGTATATATTCTCTTCGTGATTTTTCCAATTCATCATCTTCAGTGCCATCATCATTCGGCTTTAAAGCCATTTCAACGGAGCCATCGCCTTCTACCTCTACAATAACCCCCCTTTCATTTACACGATAACCTTTTTTAAGATATTTGTAAACCAAAAGCCTTCGATCTGCTATATATGCAGTCATAACTGTAGCAGGAAAAAATAAAAATGTAACAGCTCCTTCCCAAACTTCAACTTCACTAGGTGATATTACTGCTAAAATAAGATAAAGCCACACATACGCAAATATTGACCAAGTAGCTGTGACAAGAAAGACTCTCAAATGCTTTATTTTCCGTACTTCTCCATCTGGTATCACCATAACACAAATAGCTATAATCACAAACAAATTGTAAGCAGCTGATCCTACAATGGTACCCGGCCCGAGATCTCCAGCTTCAAAATTCTTTCCAGCAATTTCTATGACTGAGAGTAATATTTCAGGTGCACTTGATCCTAAAGCCATTAATGTTAAATTCGCAACCGTCTCATTCCATACTCGAACGACAACAATTTGCTCTGCGCCATTTCGTCGCACGCGCACCTCTTTTTCTCTGGATGTAATAACCTCAATGGCTGCCATAAATCTGTCGGAAACGATGGATACACCAATAAAGAGGTACATAAGAACCAGGAAGTAAATGAAGCCACGGAAAGCGATTTCAAGGTTAGGGACATCTTCAAGGGGGCGCCATGCTGGGAGAACGAGTCCATCCGAGCATTGCAGCACGTGGTGGATGGTGGTGTTGCGCACGGCCAAGCGAGCGTTAGGCAGCTCGGCGCGCGCCACCACGCAGCAGGCCGCGAGCGCCGCGAGCGCGGGCCGCATGCCCTTTACCTTGCGCGATCCATGGGCGCGACCGGCGCTGCCAAAGGCCGGCGCCCGACTGAACGTCGCGACACCCGAGACGCCTCACACCCCTCCCATAAGGCTTTTAAAAGCCGCTGCGTATCCATCCTCGCACGTACCTCTGATGAAGTTTTATTAATGTCGTGGGTACTAAAGTTGGTCTGTTGAAAAACTTATTAGCCGCAGGCGTATAAACATAGACTTATCAAAGTTTTCGGTCGGATAAACGATATGGTAGAGCTGTAATTCCGAAGTTTTTCTTTTATTACAGTTAGAAGTGGATTTTAACAAAACTGTAACTTATTTTTACGGCTAATTTGATGACTTTTCGTAAATTATCACACAGTTTAATAACCTTGCTTATTGCCATTAACTATTACAGTCAATATTAATAAAAGCTTCAGTTATTATGTATTATTAATAATTCATACATTCGTTTTTGTTGAATTAATGTTTTGTACAAAACAAATCACTAATAAAACCAAACATTTTTCTTCATTTTTTTTATATTATTAATTTAATTAATGTTTCCACAGTTTGATTACTTAAATACTAATTCTTACTTTTATAGGATTTATTTTAACGTTTCTATTAAAAATAATAATTTTATGTTTTAACATAAAACGTGTTAGAGAGAAAATAAAATTTTATTCAACGTAGAATACTCTGTTTATAATATAATTATTTGAACGTTATGAAGTAAAATTTCGTAATAGTCTTCATTGTATATAGTCTTTATAGAATATTAGCGAAAGAGAACGAATAAGTACTATTTCATTAACAGCATCAAATACTAATATAAATTTATTACACAACTTCAGTATTAATAATTTATGCTTCAAGGAACAAAGTCGTTTTTTATACTATGGCTTCATTCGCACTGGCATCGTGAACAAAGTAGTTACAATTTCCGTGAAAAATGAAAGTCAATCGTCCTTGTGTGATTAAAAACTTAACTATAACTCAGTTTAGTTTATTATTCTAGTTGTTATAATTATAATATTGAAATATTATGAAACATTACATGATTAGGTAATGTTTAAAAAAATCAAGTTTTCACTAAGATGATTTCAAATCGTTGTTACGCCTAAATAAAAATGTATAATCAATAAGTCTCGTTATACGGGAACTTCGATTTTCTTTTGTTTTTCCATTTAGAGAAATTTAATATGTTTGATTTTCATTTAGACCGTAATATTGTCGTTGTTTAAGAAAATTCGTAGAGTGTTAAGCACTGTTTATTAAACTGAAAGGAATGAGAGATGATTTAAGGAGCTGAAATTATTAATGCTAACAGCTGAGTTTCCAGCTTTATGATTTACACTAATTCTCTCATTTTTAATAACTTAGGGTTATCACTCTCTTAGTGAACATGATATTGTAAGTAGTATCCATATTCCATATGTAACTTAATTGGCTACAAACAACTTTTTTCATGAAAAGAGTGGATTTTTAAACTTATTATATATGTATTTAGTTTTTTTTAACAAGTGTCTTTAAGAAGCCTCCAGTTATACATATAAACGTCGTTAAAAGTTTTTTTTCTTTTTTATTCTTAATATATATACAAAACTATATTTTTTTATGAAATCACTATTGTAAGTAAACAGTAATATTTCTAAGTTTTCAACTTTATACGTAGATATATCTGACATTTGAAAATAATTACAAAGTATTTTTCAGAGCTGAATAAAATAAAATGCAAATAGCGAACAATTTTAACATTCTAAAGGCTTCGCGGAGATATATTGATTTCGGTACTTTCTTGAGAATAATATGTATGTTCTATCTATACTAATATTATAAAGCGAAAGAGTTTGTTTGTTTGAAAGCGCTAACCTCCGAAACTACTGGTTCGAATTGAATAATTCTTTTTGTGTTAAATAGTCCAGTTATCGAGGAAGGCTGTGGGCTATATAACATCACGCTACGGCCAATAGGAGTAAATAGTGGTAAATGTGTAAAAAACGGGATAAATTATTTCATCTTTGAAGCCTTCCGTTGCGTGTGCCTTGAAAACGTTTCAAGATACACAAAAAATATTTATTAAAAAATAATAGCTCTTTTAATGATCTAAAAAACAGTCCGCGACAGTATATGTCTATCTTTTAAGATTAACTCACAAAAACCGTTTTTATTGTACCTAATTTGGTCGAAATAATTTGTTTAAGTTGTATCAACATAATAATATTAATCTTTATTCAAATAAACAAATAAATATGTTGTTGGTTAAGAGTACTTCATTGTGAATAAAAGAAAACATAGTTTTTATCCTGAAAATCCTACTGGAACTCGACCATTCCGAAAACCCCACAAGAACGGGAGCTATGTGGGAAGAACCAAAAATCTGGCGGAGGTCACGCGGACGAAGTCACTTCAAAAGCTAGTTTTAAATTCAAATGTCGCATCTACCTTGTGATTATATATTTTTTTCTTTTAATAAAAGTTTTTTTAGTTGATCCAGTTTTGTAAATCGCTTAGATTGACATCAGTCTTTGGAATTTTATGACGGTGTATAGTAAAATTATTGTTTTCATTGAATCAAATTATGATTAAACATTATCGCTTAATAGTTGGTTAAATGAAACTCCACTAGTTTAATATATTAAGGAGAAGTTAATATTTTACATCAACGTATAAAGACAAATAAGTACATATCTAAGTGTAATCACAGCCTTATTGTCATTTACACTCACGAGTTTTCAATTATCTTAAGAGTCTGATAATTTGATTACGCTATTCATAATTTTATGAAATATATACACTTAATTATAATAAACGACATTGGTATTGTAAGTTTTACATAATGAGACGAAACCTTTTAGCATTCGATGTATTCACCGTGCGGGGCCGGGTCCATCGCGTTGCAGGGAGAGGAGTTTCAACAGTGCCTGGGCCTAATATTCATATTATATATATTAAAATTATTTTCTGTGTGTGTATATGCATATGTTCGTAGATTTGTTGCACAATTGTGAAAAAACTTGTGAATTATTTTGAATAAAATGTATTTTTATAATCGTAGACCTGAAATAGCCCATACCCTATAGTCCTATGAATATTTAAACCAAGAACACGATAGCCACCACATAAGCCAAAGACATGGTTAAGTCTAGAACGATATATAACGTGACTCAAAGAATGTCTAGAATTATTACAAATTTACTATTGCCCTCGATTTTTGTGTGTGATCTTTAGTATTTTACTCTAATTCACTAGCAGTCGTCTGCGACTTTGCGCACATATTATTCTCTTTTTTGAGATTCATCATGTATACGAGTATGAGATCATATTTGATTTCTCGAGTGTCTTTTCATGACATCCTGACTTGGTAACAATGGAACTATCTCAGCTCTTTCTTGAAAATCGGACTTCGATTGAAAGAGTAATAGCATCATAGACGTTTTGAAATCCGTTAAAAAGTTGAATAAATTCCTCCTTATGCCTTTATCTACCTCAGAGTGAAATTTCAGTGATAACCGGGTCCAGAAGTTCTAGAAAATAGAAAGACAATAAAACAGATTGAAAACCAGAAATTAAGAAAAGAAATGTAGGTTATTATATTATATTATTTACTTTTATCTGCGTTAAGTGATAAGAAATTAATTTGAAGTTAAATAAGCAGACCCTTAAATTTAATTTCTTTATCCATCTTAATTTCATCAAAATCCATATATACATCCCTGGTTAAGTTTGAATAAAAGAAACTAAGGTCATTCATATAATCAAATCATACTTGTCTTTCTCAAATCATAGTATTAATATGTATGGTGTATTAAGACAGATGATTATTATGCGGGCCTAGCTTGATACATACAATTAACTATAATTACTGTATGCCTAGTGAAGTACTATCTATTAACGGACGAGCAATCAGTGGATGAGCACGTTTAAGTAGCCTTAGGATTTGTATTCAATAAACAACACTAATCAAATCATTTTAAATGATATCCTTTGTATCGTTTGTAATAAATATGGGATAATTTAAAGAATAGTAAGGGTATATAATATTAATAATCCTTTAACGCATTTGTTAATGTAATAAATATGCATTTACTGATTAAACTGAATTCATATATATTTTGGATAGCTTCAAAAGCTATCCATTTTTAAATTATATATGTTGTTATTCGGATATACGGTCGCACGTACAGACGTATGGTTGTACGTGCGTGAAGGCCTGGGTGTGTTTAATTAACACGCAGAGACTATCGAACTTTGAAACAGATTTAGGTTAGGACGGGTTCTACTAATGAACATACATACACACACACATACGTATATATAATACACACAACATACACTTCAGACAAATTCCGTATCGTTAAGTGCATACTTTCCGTTATTATTTTAAGCATTATTATCAATTGATGACGCTAAGTGTTGTAATTAATTATCAATTTTTCATACATTTATTGGTATTTGTTACATAAAACACTAGAATTAAGGGCACGAGTGACGTCTTAAAGGACATTAACGTCCTTGGTTCGTGTTTATCTCACCCACAAGAACAGTTAATATGATATATGAATACGACTCAGAGAAAATCAAGTTACACCTCATACGATTTGGCTAATTGTGGAATAATATTTGTATGTATATCTTGATTAAAATAGAGAAAACATTCATTAATATATGTAAATATTTATAACCAAGTATGGAGGAATGTAATTTATGTTGTGTAATGAATTATGACACAGTATTATTTATTAAACGGAAATAAAATTGTAAAGCCGAAAGCGTTATAAATTTGTAGGAGCGTCCTCGAAAACGGATGTTATGTTTTGTTTGTAAAACTATTATTCTGATACGGTACAAAATTGAATATAAAAGACATCTATCTGATGGTTTTTTTGTGAAAAAGTAAAAAACATCAAAATTACCAAAAAATGAAACCAATATTTTCAGATTACTATGTGTTATTTTATTATTTAAAAAAAATGTGTACTCCCGCCGTTTCGATTACTTTGCAGCAACTG